CTCAGTTGTTTGTGATTTATATAGACTTGAGCCTAAATTTCTTGCAGGATGCTCAAAAATTTAATATTATGTATATTTTTTTCATGTATAAGTCACCTATTTGCTGCTTCGAGCTCAGCGCACTCTTCCTCCTCGTAGAAACTTTGTTTCCATTTGCCTACGAGTTATCAACTCATTTTTTTAGTATGGGAGTTTTAGAGCCTTTGTCTCCTTTGGACGAATCTCATCAGAGATTTAACTCTCTTGTTCTACCAAAAATTCTTTGTCTTGACTATTTTTTTGCCGTGCCGGATTTTGAAGTGCTGCTGGGCGTTTTGCTCTCAATTCAATTTGCAGCTCCTCTAAACTTCGGCCGACAGCTTACTTAACTGACTGCAAATACCTCCGTCGCAATTATTGGATGGAACTTCGGCTCATAGTCAAGTAAAATCTTAGCCTCGTCGAGATACACGAAATCTGGTTACTGCAATTCATCTTAGATTGTTCGTTCCCATTGACTTGGAATAAATGCTGCTGTCAAAATTTTCAAGTTCGGTAATATATTTATTTGGATTCGTCTTCTGCTCTTGATTAGTATATCTTCTATTGTGATAAATTTTTGAAGATTTCTATCCGTTTAATTTATCGTTTTTATTTAATTTTACATTTTTAAATTTTATTTACTTAACACTTGTTTCAAATAAATATATATTTTTTGTGAATATTGAATGTTTTGTAATGTTTAGCATAGTTAGTTCATACTTGGTCTGTCACAGGCGTCGATTGATTCAATTCTCATCACAGCGGCATAAACGCGTAGTTCATTCTTAAAAAATTATCTCAAAATAACTTGATGCACAGTCGCTGCAAGATTTTCGATTCAGATCAAATATTGTTTGGCATCTCTCGTCTATATACTCCTGTCATATAGCCTATAGGCGAGCTTTGAATACACACTTATGTGTTGAACTTATGAATATGTCAATTTTATATTATAATTGTTTCGGAGTTTTAATGTACAAAGCAAAGAGCGTCTTACGCATACGATAGGAGCGTTCTATCACAAGGCTGGAGTAGTCGTGAGCAGCCAGCCACCCCTGTGGCTCTCCGGCGTTCATGTGGCGTCTAGAAGCAGCGGTGTCGCGGACTCCTGTGTAGTGCGAGTGATTAAGCATCAGCGTGATCAATATTGCAGCCCCACAGTCCCAGTCTACGCGTCTTGCTGTCTTTGTTTCGCCACACAAAAAGCGGCCAGGGGATGGCACAGGCGGGAGGCAGAGGCCTCAAGGGTGGCACAAGGAGAAGAAGAACGTAGGCGACGACGACGCTCTGGAGTAGCGCTGCGATGGCTCTCACACGAGGGGTTTTGGAGAGGGAGCAGAGGAAGGTTTTATGCTGTCGTTGCTACTGCTGCCTCTGATGCTGCTGGCTCAAGGGGCATAAGACAGCGAAATGAGGGGAGAAGATGAGCTAGAACTCTGCGGAAAGAAACGCCTGATCAGGACCGGCACGGTCGAGAAAATGGCGACTTAATTAACACGCCTGCCGAGTTCTTGTGAGCGCTGCTGGCGCAACTGAGATGTTTTGCTGCAGCTTCAATGAGATGTACAGCTTGCTACTTGTAGTGGCGATCATAGATGTGGTAGTTTCGTACATTTTTGACGAGTAAAAATCTTTTTTGTTTTTATTTGCTATGGATTTGCGTCAAAAAAGTTACTTGCGTAAGATTTGGCAACAATAATTGTAATTTCGTAGCAGTTTTCGTTAAAAAACTCACTCGCACTGTAAGGTGAGTAAAGATAAGTTGTCTATTTTTAGTCCAAATTTATATCCTTGTGAACTTTCACCAAAATTTAATGATGAGGTTGTCATCAAATGAGGGTCGAGCGAACATGCACAATTGCACATGCTGCCGATCAGCTCGGAGTTCTTTGTCCGAGAATGAGCAGGCATACCCTGGGTCCGTGCTCGATCGCAGTTCCCCTCGAGCGTTCACCCACCACTAGGAAATTGAAGTAGCGTCAGCAGAGGGGACTGCTGGAGCTTACCAGACGAGACTGATGCTGGCCATTGTCACTGCCACTCGTGAGCTTTTCATTGGAACTGGAGAGGCGAGCGTGCCATAGAGGCCGCGCAGCATGAGAGCTCCGAGGGTGCTGCGTGCTGTGTAAGGGTGCTGCATGCTATGTGAGAGTGATGCATGCTGTGATATGGTGTTGTGTGCTGAGTGCTGTGTTAGGGTGCTGCTTACTGTGTGAGTTTGATGTGTGCTGTGTTATGGTGTTGTATGCTGTGATATGGTACTGCGTGCTGTGTTAGAGTGATGCATGCTGTGTCAGAGTGATGCATCCTGTAATGTGGTGTTGTGTGCTGTGTGAGAGTACTGTATGCTATGATATGGTGGTGCGTGCTGTGATGATGTTGTGCTGCATGAAAGTGTTGTGGTGCGTGAAAGAACTATGTGCACGCGAAGGTGCTGTATTTGGGTGCTATTTGTCATTAGCCTTGTAACTTTTAAATTATTAATGATCACCATGCCATGTAACGCCAAATAACATTCTTTGTGCATATCAAAGTCCTGGTCCCAATATTAGTGATACTCAAACTGAACAGAACATTTTTGACTCGAATATTCCATGGAAATTAGAACTCGACCTTAGTTGCACTGACAATATACAGGGCGATCACTAGAAAACTATGACTTGCCCTGAATTTCATGAAATAATAGTCTGAAGCTGAAAAACTTTCCTTGTTTAATTTTATTGATATTTGCTTATCATCGTTTTCGATCAATTATTTTCCTATATTCTTTGTGAGCGCATGCTCTGTATTAAATTATAATTCGTCGATTGCCTGAGAGATGAGCAGTTTTATGTCATAACTGTTGAGTAGGCGAGCGTTAGCTAGGTTGTGTAATTGGTGGTTATAGGGAGTATGACCGAGGGTAGGAGGGCGGACGGTCACACGAGTGAGGGAGTGGGTGAGAGGGCGGCGATGCTTCGTCCAAGAGAAAGAGAGAGGGACAAGAGCGCTTCAACTGGAAATAGCATGGAGTGCAAGAAATCTCGAGAGGGAAAAACTGCAGGAAATGTCGACGAGGGATTTTGTTTTTGCCAGGCGACACTTGGCGACGGCAGTCTTCCAGTGGCAGCAGCAGTTGCTTCTCTCTTTAGACGCTTTGTCTGCAGTTCGCTCATATGAGTTGGCTCGGACGGGCTTTTTTCGGACACTTCTTCAGGGAGAGATTCTTTGTAATTGTCACTTCTTTGAGGCGGCGTAGGTGTGAAAGGACTTGGGTGATCATTTCAAAAAGGACGACGTTCATTCTTGACGCTTTACGAGCAATGCAGCCTAAGCTTGAATGACTCGCTTTCCTGCTAAATTTGACGGCCTTCATGGCTGAAACACTCAGACGTTATTACACATTCTATTGCTCGAATATTACAGGAATTATTATGTCAGTTATACTTAGAAAACAAAAAATTGAATAAATATTACGATATCTTCAAAATAATCTACATTGATTAGTCTAATCCACCGCCTGCAAACAATTCACTAATTTGCTTCTCCGTACATGCAAGGAACGTTCAATCTCTCACAACTAACAAATTGAATGCAGAGCCTTGCTTCTCTTGCTGATGAAGCTTTCTGCTCGTTTTCCTAATATTTTTTTTTTCCGATAGCCTAACAGCTTACACTTGGTTACACTTGGTCTTCGTGACATAAATTAGATGAATACCAGCAAAATAATAAACGCTGTTATTCGAAAGTGTAAATATACAAAGTTAGAAAATATTCCAATGCATCGATGCTCATTATTCTTCTCAAAAATACCGAACGCGACTCTGAACACGAACTTACCAATTGCAATTCTGGTAGCCCATAGCCGCTGCACGGCGAGCAGAAGTTCTTTATCTGCGATCTGCCGCCCCTAATTCGATCGACTTGCTCACAACGACGAGCCTCTCGCGCGTCAGCCTCACGCTGCTACCAAACGAGTTTCTTTCACGTCCTATATACAGCGCCTTTGATTTGACTCAATTACAATTTTACGACTTTATGCTGAATAATGTCTTATCGTTTTATTTTGATCATTAGTTTATTGTTTTATTCTATGCTGGCTATCCAGTTGGTCTTGTCTTGATAAATGCACTGAACTAGAATACGTAAAATAGTATATTCGGTCTTATTTAGATTATTATTAAACGGTCTTATTTAGCATTTGTGTTAACTATTCCTAATAACAATGTAAGGTAAAAATTACAATTTGATTCATCTTTCAAGTAATCTTTATCACACTTTTTTATTCCTTCCAAATTTGAAACAAAAACTTCTCTATTCCCGAAATAGACGCAAACGACAAACCTTTCCTCATTTGCCAATCAATCGTTCAGAATCGGTTTGACGATGACAGGTTTTCACATGCATGACAATCGACTGAGCGATCAGAGACATGAAGGTATCCAGTCAAGCGTCCCCCTCTTTAGCAGCGTTACAGCTCGCGTCTTGGCTGCTGCTAATGCGATGCTCCTAAAAAGACACTGAAAAACCACTCATGTTCACTAGCAGCAATTAACTCTTCCTGTAGTTACTGCCTCAGAGTATTTGCCTCTTTTGCCGCACTTTTAATACGCGGTTATAATTGCCTCAAGAGGATAATGGAGACCTCTTTTAATGGCGGCCGGTGTTAGAGGCTTAGGCTTGGCTTCCGAAGACTCCAGAATTTGAGGTTATAAAGTCTTGAAGTACAGAAAAAATTGTGACAATTTTGGACGTGAATGAAAATTATATACGTGTATCCTCAATTTTTAGCTCATTCTTATGGAATATGATTTTAAATGACAAAAATTAACTTCCCCTATCGCAGTCGAAAAAAAAATCAAACGCGACAGCTTTTTTACAATGTGGAACTTTGAAGGGAAGCAGTTAAATCCACTCTCAAAATGTAAAAAAAAAATAAAGTATTATGCATTCTCCAATTGGAAACCAACGCATTGATGAAAAATTTTATTTTATTTCAGATTTTCCTCCCCAACGGACACCAGACCGTCCCGCTGGAGATCTACGCGAACTACTCGTCGTCCAGTGAGCAGCAACAGCAGCGCCTGCTCCTGGAAAGCATGGCTAAAGTTGGAAACAGGTAAATGCTCTTCATATTCTCTTCACCGATGCCAAAAGTCAACTAATCAAGATAATTGATGAATATGAGTTTGATTTAGATGGGTGCTCATTTTGGCTTCAATTAACGTATGCATGTAATTGATAATCTGGCTGTAAACGAACTAGTGGAAACCCATTGCCGAATTATACACACCAATTACAATAATAAGTATCAGTTGATCTCCAGCTGTGCCTGCTGAGTGGTGGGTCATTATGATGGAATTTAAAAAGTTAGAAAGAGAACTTTCTCAAGTCGATGACGACACTTTCGGTTTGATTCCACTTTGTTCAGGAATTTGTTGGCCACTAAGTGTCCTGAGCATCAAGTGACCTGTTAACAGTAGCCATCGGATTTTAAAAATATATTTTTTCCGACTTCGTAGGATGGCTCTTCCGTAAAGGAATTGGAATTAATTTCATTTTCATCAGTTGTGTTGCAATATATCTGAAAAAAAAATTCAACATAGCTCTTCACATTCATTTCATGCGTTGGGGATTTAGTTCAGAAGGCTAAATTCAGTTCGTCTCCTAACGACAAATCTCAAGTTAGGAATAAATATGTTGAGTCAACTGAGTTGGTTTTTGAACCTATGACTGCGTGGTCAAAGTTTGGCGGTCCTGTAGCTGTTGTGGTACCTAGAAACAAGCTAAAATCTTTGAATTTCATACTACAGCCTCTTTTGTTATTCCTCTTGTACGCTCAAGGAACGAGTTACGTGGTTGTGGTACGTAACATGCCGTCAACCAGTATAAATTCAGTCGCAGTTCGTTGGCTCGGTCCAACAGTTTCGTATTCTTTTGCACTATGGATGGGAATTTCTCTTTCCTCCGAGAGAACCGAGTAAAATAATCGAGCCTTTGATGTGACTTTTCGCGTGGCTTCTTCTTGCCCCAAGATATCTCGTACATCCAAAGAATGGTGACGAGTTCATCCAAAAATTTCGAAGCAACTTGAAGAGATTTGCTCGGTTCCCTCTACTTTTTCTTACCATTCGGTCCATCTTTTATTATTTTTTTTATCATATTGATGCACGGTGTGTTCTTTCAATAAGGATTTGTAGCTTTTATCTTTTTCCTGTTACAAGACATATTTCGGTAACGTTTGATACAAGTGCAAAAATATACTCGTCGCAGTGAGGCTCGTGCAAACTTTTCTTGTCGTGAATTTTAATCCATTTCTAATTCCATTTTATTCTCTTTGATCTGCCTTTTTATCTTGCTGTGCTTTATTAATTATGATTATCTCTGCTTCAAAATTTTGTCATGTCCATATTTTCTCATTTTTATCATCGCTCCAGTTTCCTTCCCTCTTTCTACGTAATATTTAATCGGTTCAGTCACGAATGTGACCTGCTTCGCATCATGAATTTTCATGTCTGCCACTCTTTTTATCCATTTTATGCACTTCTGTATACTCCATTTTTATGCACATTCTTTTATTTGTCTAATGGTGCAGTTAGGTAAGTATAAATATGAAAGGCTGTCGTTTGGATTTGTGTAAGGTAAGGGACGGAGACAATTTAAACTCAGTTTTAAAATACTAAAGTTGAAACTCGAATTTCACTGTGGGTTTCACGCGCTAATTATGATTCTGTTGAACTTAATATTTTTATAGTTTCGTTCATCAGAGACCATTTCTTACGAAATAATCCAAACCAGTTAATAGCCAATCATGGCTTCGTGGGTAATCAATCACGAACATTGGGTAACTTGTGATGACCTTGTTGTTGCAGTGGAGAGAACGGCTCTACTGGACATTCACAGGCTGATTTGCTCAAGCTCCTTTCATCGAACAATGCCAATCAGCTCTCGAGTGCAAGCATTGGAGCCCTGGGCAGCATTGGAGGTCTTGCAGCTTCCCCACACGCCAGACAAAATGGCAGTGCCCTCATGAGATCATATGAGGCTTTACTCCAGAATTCTGCGAGACTTCCACCACAAGCTGCAGTGCCGAGTATTCCAGGGCCAACGCGCAGACGCAAGAAGAAGAGGAGGCGTCAACCTGACATGCCTAAAAAAGCATGTACTCCTTTCATGCATTTCTGTTCTTACTTCAAGAAGAAGTTGATGGAAGAGGGCAAAGAGTTTCCACAGTTTGCTGACTTCGGCAAGAGAGCAGGGGAGCTCTGGCGAAATATGGCTGACACAGAGAAAGTTCAGTTCAATGAATTGTCCGAGAAAGATCGTCAGCGATATATTAAAGACATGAAGGAATACGAAGAACGTAAATTGGCCGAAAAGGAGAGGGAACAGGAACTTCAGCAACAACGCGACAAAGAGCTTCATGTGCTGAGAGAAAAGGAAATGGAGAGATTGCAAAAACAACGGCATGAGCAGTTGGAGCACCAACAGAAGCAAATGGAGCACCACAAGCAGCAGATGGAACAGACACAGGCCCACCAGCCTCAAGCTGCGTCTCCAACTCACTCGAACGCCGCTCTCATGAATATGCTCAACCCGCTCAGTCCGCTGAACCCACTCATGATGGCTGCCTTGAATCAGTCCTTAATGCAAACCATGATTACAAATCCTGAACTTTTTAAGACAATGTACTCAGAGGCAGCTAAAAACTATTATCTTGAATCCCTGAAGAACTATTATCAAAATTCTCCATTACCCCAGTCAAACGGCTGCAGCACCTCTGTAAGCACATCAGGTTGTACCACGCTGACCTACTCTCCTCCCACGGACATGCATTCTCCCTTGAGTACAAACCCGTTGGGTTCGATGAACATGAACCTCAATCTCCTCTCACTGATAAACTCTGGCCAACTAAGCAGTCAGTCTATGTCGGCTACTAATGGCAATGTTAGTCCTCCGGCTGGCAAGTCTCCAACACTGACCAAAGTTTCTGGGTCGTCGCCCATCGGCACACCAAATAACATGGCATCAGCAGCGCTTGACTTGTCCTCCGCGCGATTAGAAAGGGGAGGATGCACCAGCGATGAAGGTAATTAATGCAACGATCACTGTTGCTAGCCTTCGAGATTTTCATGAAAAAAGTTTGAGTTGTAATTAAATGAGAAATTTAGTCGAGAAAATATATTAATAAATAAATACTCTTTAATTCCTGTCGGTTTTCCGTTTTCAACATTTTATGTTTCTCTTTGTATCAGATTGGATTGAAGCCCCATGAGAAATGAATCCTTTTGCATGTAGGAAATTTTAATTAAAAACATTATAAATTCGATGCAATGCATTTTGTATTCGCAAATTTGTTTTATGCTAAGTTTTTGTTTAGCTTATAACAAACACAAGTTTTAACCTAATTAAAATATGATTTAACTAACACAATGGTTTGACCTACCGTAGTGATAATTACTGGCCACCCTAAAGTCGTAACGCTTTACTCCAGTATTCATAAGAACGCGAAGTCTGCTTAGTCAAAATTTAATAAATTAAGCTGTAATTTAGTAACCCAGTTATAACGAGATTCGCTTTTTTATATTTTCCTGCCAAATATTTTCTTTATTGTAGAACGTAAACACAGAATATAATGTTTATCGTTGTAGTAGGTTTAAACTCGAAATGGTTTCTTGCTTATTGATCGCCCTGACTCCCGAATCCTGACGTGAATTTGTGACGATTGTGCGCTCTCACATCGATAAAAAAAAGCAGTACTACCTCAAAAGGTTTTCTAAGGGCCAAAAAGAAAATTTAGCTTGTCTCTACAGAAACCAAAGAGAATAATACTGTAAAGCGAGCCAGTCATCGACAGAGCTCCGTGAAGTTGAGTGGCTCCAGTGACAAAGGCATTTCGCTGTACGTTTCACTGTGGATCATCTTTAACTTGGATATAGTTTTTAAGATTACTCAAAAGTATAAAGATGACATGGATGGAAAATGCTTATGACTATTTCGATCCGATGTCCAGTGATAGATTGGATTCAACGTAAGCTTTTTCAACACGTGTGGAGTGTGGACTTAGGAAAGGCAACAGTAGGAGGCAGTCGCCGCTAGTATCTCGAGCAAAATTTAAATTACCTGTCTCACGTTTACAAAGACTTGTGAGCGAAAATTACTAATACTGGTCTATTAGCATCAATTATGTATTGACATTTTCATCCACGATGGTAGAGTTAGCCGTAATTCAAATTTCAGCGTCTACCACTCAATGCCACTGACTTCTGAATTGAGCCGCCCCGGCATTACTGCCAACGACTTACCTACATAGAAACTTACTCCGTTATTAGTAAAACAGAGCCGTATTATAGCAATATTGAAGCATCTCTGTAATTATAATGAAGAAATTAAGCCCTAAAGTGATAGTTCTGACAAATGACAATGTATGTTTTATTTACGTTCTTTTTATTTAATGACCTGCAAGACAAGTGCAGTAGTATATATCTGCTGAAGTGAATAGCTACCTACTTTGTCAAGTTGTGTCATTGATGGTAGCTTTGTTATAGGCTGTTACTCACCAGTTAGTTGTGACTCCTCTTAAAAATAATTTGCTAAGATTTATAATTACCATTTATGTTTACAATTCACTTCCAGTAAGAGATTCTTGTTGAATCATTTAAAAATTTCCAAAGGAAATTACAATTTTTTTTTCTTTTCAGAGCTGATCAATCAGGACGACTGTGAAATTGAAGCTTAACTACACCGCCAATAAGGAGCATTTGCAGTGGACTTTAGATGAGCTTCTAGATCCAGCTGATTCCAAGCCTGGACCTCTTCAAGCACTACTCACTACTGCTCTGTGGCCTCTGGTCTCACCTTCCAAGTGCACCTCTAGGCTGACTTGCTAAGATGTTTAGTGTATCAAACCTGGATCAATTGTTTGGTTTAAAATTCAATATTTTGGCATTGACCTGCCGTTAATAAATATTGACATCTTGAGTGCCTCTTCCACATGAAATTTGTCTCTATTGTCTATATTCTGATATCTGCTTGCACTATCTGTCATTGGTTATTTCTTTAATGCTAATCTTGGGTACTATTGAAAAAATGTCTTCGGAATCTGAGTGCCAATCGCAATTTAAATTAACCGAGTTTACAAGTGAGTGGGAATCATCAGTAATTTACTACCATGTTCTGAAGATGAGCAATAGTGCTTATATTTGGGTGGGAACTGAGGCAGGTGAGCAGGGCACTCTGGTAGCGGCGTTGTCAGCCCGACCTGGAGTGCCTGATCATATGTTGACATCATCACTCTTAAGAGGTAACTGCCAGGAAATGGCTTCTTCTTGTGCCGGCCGTTTGCAATCAAGATTAAAATTCCCGGTATTACTCAGTCTTGATATTCCTGAGGTTCCACTACTGCTCGACCATGTTGAAAAGACTTTGTTGCAAAGATTAGCATGAGTCAATAAAACTTTTCTATCAGTTATTAGAAGGCACAGAGTACCGGTATCATCTATGTGTCTATCGTTTTAATTAAATTTTCTTATTTTTTCTTATTACCTTGTGTTAAATGCCAAAGAACGCAAGTGGCTCATTCCATTAAATAAATTCAGCTCGTATTTTTTCTCTATATTTCTCCTCACACACTCTCTGATCTGGGTTGTATGTTGTCTCCGTGAATCATTTCATCATGTGTGTTAAGCATTTGCTAAGTATGAATTATGGTTTACTTAATGATCAATTTTTAGTTAACAATTTACTTTATTTTACACTCTGCTGAGTGCTAAGTATCGACAAAGGTTAAAATTCACCTGCTTTGTAGGTCGCTTTAAGAAATTTTGTATATATCCTAGGTTATGCTGAAGTTGTTCTCCCAATGAATTGTATTTATGCCAACTCCTTCCAGGAAACTGTACATAACTAGCTTTGTAATTAGCTATCTTAGTGCAGAAGTTTATGGCTGACTTTGTTGTCTGTATGTTGCTATGCACTTACAACCTTCAATATTATAGGGCAGGGTGGCCCAGTGGTTAAAGTTCAGAGTACCAAGATTGACGCACTAGAGAGGCGTGGGTTCGATCCCAGCTCTGTACGTGCGACAGTTTCTGGTCAGAATCGGCAAGGAGGCCGGGCGGTTAAGCACAGCAGAATTGTAGCAGTGCGTTGCGAGTTTCGTGACCTCAAAATGCTGCGATTGTTCTGCGATGTTAAGAATCGGCGACAGGCCTACGGCCTAATAAACGCTGAAACCGCTAATATATAATAATAATATTGAGGCGAGAACTGTGGATCCACTTGTCACCTGCTTTCAGACAAATCAACAATCACTGTTTCTAGACAGATTGCTGAAAGTATCCTGAAAATTTTACCAGGTGCAATATCTCGTATTATCCATTCTATTTAATTCAATCATTTAGATTCCCGCAAAAGTAAAAATCTAAGTTTTGCAATCACCATTGTTCAATTTTAATATCTCTGCCAATGATCGTCATCCGGAGTAATCTAATTGTAACGTACAAGAAAGATAAAACTTATCTTCTAACTGAGTACTAATTGAAGATCCGCCCATCACGATATCATGAATCTGGTACTGAATTTACATGATTTAAGTCATGGTTATCTCGTATCGCTTGCTCGTATTACAATATATAATAACATTTTTGCCAATTCTATTGGAACCTTAAATCATCATTTTAGGTAAACTTGAGTTTACGATCTAATATAGGGAGATACCAATTGATATTATTTTGAACAAGTTCCTCACCGATGACATAACTCTCGTCTTTCATGCTCAAATTTGGAGCAACAGTTTGTTAGACTCGTGTTGTCTTCTGAACTTCGTTATACCCTAGCACATTAGTTGTAATGTGCCTGAGGTGTAAGTATTTACTGCACTTGTCAAATACTTTGTTCTGGAAATTTATACATTGCCAAGATAACGATTATGTTACATCACCGATGTTATGAAATCAAGGCTGGCATTCGTGTTCTCGCCGTAGCTGATGAATTTGTACCAGAAATTTATAGTGATTTTAGGTTACTGTTGACAATGAAAGTGTAAGAAGTTAGATGAGAGTTAGTTAGTGATTCCTAGGTTTAAATAAATATATTAGTTAAATGGGCTTTGTATATATAGATGATGTATGACTGACGTACTTAGATGGTGCTTGTCATATGCCATGGTTTGCCCTCCTCCTCCCCTACTAGGTCACCACCTCCTGTTTCCCCGTCTATATCTAAAGCATTTCCCAATACGTCTCATTGAAAACGTTTTGTATGATGTTTTTTTATGTTCTCACCGACAAAAGTTATAGGGAGTTTGTTGGGAGAGAGTACGGCCGTAGTTCCTGTTTTGTTTCTTATCAAGACTGCTTTTGTTTCTTGATTTATCATAGGGCAAGAATTTAACGCACCCTTTGATTTTTCGTCAGTTTTCGAGAGCAATGCGACCTTAATTTGTTGAGTCGCCAATATGTTTGAATCGAAGGGTAATGTTTGCCTCAATTTCACAGTTTCCATAGCTAGTTAGTTCCATATTTCGCGTTGTAAGTTGCGACTTTCATCTTGTATTATTTTGTTGTCTCTATTGTGTTCGTTGGATGTAGATGACACAATTATTCTCTTTTCTATAGTAGAAAGAAGTTCAAGTATACTCTCTCAGTAACGCGGCATATCTTTGAATCTATTTGACCGTGACCGATGAATTCAAAATTAAATTTTTATCGAGTCTTGATTTTCACAGTCCAGCTTTCAGCTTTTGAGCTTGGGGCATTAATTTTACTTTTATGTTATTTCTTCTCAACCTGCGATATGTTAGTTCAATTTTCCGTAGTTCCTACAATTTCCCGATACTTTGTATGCTAATTCTTCTTCTGATTTAAAGTAATCGATGAACTTGTTTTATGCTAAATTGTCATCAGGAAATAACAAGTCACGAATCCGGTCTCATTCGGTACTGTCCCCATAATCAGTATGTTCGCTTTCGTATATCGATTACAAACTGAGCTCATGACTTAGAATCGTTTTCAACTGTCTTGTAGAATAATTACCTACTTTCAATATGTTGCATCAGACACGTTCATGATGAATTTCAGACACGTTTAGAGAATGTTTGTTTACGTCCAAAATATGCGATGAGAGTGAGTAACAACAGTTTATATCCATGATCCTTATTTGCATGCTAACAACGAGCGTGTTGATTTAGAGAGGACGAGAAGTTTTCTCTCCGTATCTTTATGGTACTTTATTTTGCTAGGAGCGATGTCAGCAATTGTAAAATTTCCTTTTAATTTCATAATGTTTGATTCGTTCGTTGTGTTAAATAAACGAATGATAAAATTGCTGTGCTTTTGTAATGAATTTTTTTCTGAACTTGAGTTTGATTATCCTCAATATTGAGTAAATACACCGAAGATATATATTTTATTTCATTAGGTTTTTCATTAAAAAAATCAGTGAAAACGATGGAAACGTCGGTTTAATCGGAATCTGCAAATTGTTTTCATTTTTGCGATCGCAAAAATCTTGAAGTCGAAATTTATATATTTTACTTTCGAATCTAAAATACATAATTGCCTTTTATCTTACATTTGAAAAAAAGCTTGCTGCGTATTATCGTCTCAGCTCTAATATTAATACTGCATGAATATTAATTTGACGAATTTAGCCTGAGTGTAGAAGCTTGCAAATAGTAGGAAGAGTCTTTTGCAGCTTTGAAGAAATTTCAAATGTGACGTATTGTGTGGGAAGGTGTGACGGGTGGGTGCAGTTCTCTATTTGCCGTAGAAGGTGACTCACCTAGCGCCTGCAGGTGGGTGTAGTTCTCAAGTTGCCGTAGAAGGTAACTCACCTAGCGCCTGCAGGTGGGTGTAGTTCTCTAGTTGCCGTAGAAGGTGACTCACCTAGCGCCTGCAGGTGGGTGTAGTTCTATGAGTCACCTTCTACGGCAACTAGAGAACTACACCCACCTGCAGGCGCTAGGTGAGTCACCTTCTACGGCAATTGCCGTAGAAAGTTCGTCCTCTGGTTGGTAGGGAGCAGAGTTGCCCGAACCTTTAGTGTTTAGAGTTTAAACTCAATTCCCAAAAATTCACTCATTTCATTAATATGTTCACTATTTTTTATTTTATATGCTAATAATTCACTAAAATAAGCCCTAAGCGTCTCCGGTACCTCCAGTCTTCGGATCTTTAATTTTATGAGATGCGAATTACAATGTCAATGGCAAATCGTGTCATTGCGCGTAGTAAAAAAGATATGGCTACAAGAATAAAATGCCATAGAGAAAATCTAATTACTTACATCATTGTATGAAAATTTTCTCACTTGTCAAATTACAACAATACTAAAGTTTTTAGCTGGTGCCTGAGTCCTATTTACTGGTTTCTTAGTAAAATAAGTAATTATTGCTATTCTTGGCTTAGACTATAGATAGTACGTTTGAAAAGGAAATTCCAGGATTTCTTTAGATGATTTTGTAAGTTTTTGTATATCTTAAATGTAAATTATCCAAAAAGATACCATCTATATAGACTATATTTTGCACACGTCCGGCCATTCGCGTTTACAGTTTTTACCTAAAAATATTATACGTTTAAAAATTACGTTTTAAAGACAACAATTCTAAAGAATCCAGTGTCTCCAATGTTACAGATGTACAATGAATTTCTCATTTTATTTTCGAATATTAAAAAATTATTTTTTTATATTTTTAATGCACAAAATTTATTTAAAAACTATTTATTCTGTCAATTCAATGTTCAAAGATTCAATGTTCAAAGACGTGCAACAAGGATAATTCCAGGCTTGAAGGGCAAGTCCTATGAAGAAAGATTGAAGATTATGAAGCTTCCAAGCCTCAGTTAACCAAGTATGAACGCGTTCAAGAACAGACTAGATAAAGCTATGGAAAAATATATGTTCAGATTTGAAATGCCTAGCTCCTTATCGAACCCGGTGGAAGTCTAGTAGCTACTTCAAACAATCGTCAGTCATAAAAAGATCCGGTCAAATGACACGAGTTTAGATCTATGAACAAGGCACGAAATGGAAAAGAATCGGCGACAGGCCACATCAGGCCTACACTTCAGAGCCGACATCACTATGTTATGTTATGTTATGTTAGTTGATTCATGCATTGCCTCCGACTTCACGCAAGTGTGCAAAAAGATCAATTGGAAAGATAAAAGAAAAGCATGGTTGGGTAAAAGTGTGTCAAATATCAGTTATAAGATTTGTAGCTGACAAAATTATTTTTTCAATTTTTTAATATTGAGGAAAAAAATTGTTATTTTTTAATCATTTATTTTGTCATTTGATTCATGCATTGTCTCCAACTTTACGCAAGTGTGCAAAATTTCAGATCGGTAGGATAAGTAGAAGTGTGTTAAATTTTGATTATAAGATTTGTAGCAGACAGACAGATAGACAGACAGATAAGAAGTGAAGCTAAAAAGAAGTGTTGTAATGAAACTAAATGTCGTGTGAAATTATATCGACAGATTCAAATTTAGCGCGTCACGCCGAGCTAAAACGATTAGTTTGACTCATAAATTAACGTGTTTTTTTACATATATCAAATGCATTTAGAACTAAATAATTTAAAGTACAGCTGCTTACC